TACCACTATACCTCTTATCACTATTGTTATACACGGACCTGATACCTCTATTGTTATACATAGACCCCATACAGCTATTGTTATACATAGACCCAATACAGCTATTGTTATACATAGACCCGATACTGCTATTGTTATACATAGACCCAATACCACTATACCTCTTATCACTATTGTTATACACGGACCTGATACCTCTATTGTTATACGTAGACCTGGTATCGCTATTGTTATACATAGACCCAATACAGCTATTGTTATACATAGACCCAATACTGCTATTGTTATACATAGACCCAATACCACTATACCTCTTATCACTATTGTTATACATGGACCTGATACCGCTTTTATACGTAACCCCAATACCGCTATTGTTATACATAGACAAGTTATTGTTATTCTCATACATGCTAGCAGATCAAAGTAATCACTTTGTTATTAACAAGAAGTAAAAAATATCACTTTTCACACACAAAAAAATATCATGAACATCGGAGAATTTAAGACATCTGCATTAAGTAAACAATTCTGTTTCAACCCAATGTGACATGTTTAATATTAATGAGTTAGTTAAACGTCATCAAATCATCCTTCATTTGGAATAAGTGCACGATTCTATCTTTCAAGGCTTACACATAAACTTATTTTGCCCTCAAGTCGGAAAATTGAAAAATTGGGTCGGTCGGTCGGATTTTTTTTTTAAACTTAATTTAAAATATTATAGTTTAACCAGCTTTTGCTGTCATGCACACAGCAAACGTGTTCGCCATGTTCGCTACCGCTGTACACGTGTACGTACACACGATAACAAATCCGGAAGTGAGAATACTGACAGCGCTAAAACAATGTGCAAAAGCCAACGTTTTGTTTGCGATGTAAAGAAGGAATTAAAATGGTTACACTAACTGCTAAAACACATATATTAAACATACAAATTTTACAAAAATTACTATCTAAAGCACGACAATGATTTAAAAAAACTGCAATTACAAAAAAACTATTGATATATGTAGGTAATAATAGAAAAAAATAGATGAAATAATAATTAAAAAAAATGAAAGCGTATGAAAGTTTTAATATTAAATGTCATGTTTTGTAAATGTAAATTTTTTGCATTTCATGTATTAAAAATTATATTTACAACAAACGTATTGTTTTTGATTCAAAATAATATTTTTATTTAATTAAGAAAATACTTGGTGCGGCGATATTTTTAATATTGTGCACCAGCTATCCGTTGAATCACAAATGTCAAAATGGGCTGAAATGCAAAAGACGTGTTTGCTCTTCAGACTTCATAGTATTCGGAACATGTCAGAGAAATACAGATCAACCCGAGGTTCAAAGTCGCCATTTATCTTCCCGGGGACCCTGGGGATCAAACAACGGTCCGGGATCGTAAAATTTTAGAGGTGGGTTTTTAATATTTGGGCCTATTAAAAAAAACGCGACCCGATATTTCATATTTTTCGGTCGATTTACATTAATAAGTGATCATGGCTGGAAGGACTCAACAAAATACAAGACTTATAAGATTGAAACAATCATTTTATGATAATGTTAGGACATACTACTAGTATTACAAAGCATTTTAGAAATTTTTGCTTTAAAGGAGGCAATATAAGTTGATATTTAAACATTCACGCTATCTACTGAGCAGTGAATGTGTGACGTTGGACGTACGTCAGAGATTGCTTCAAGATTGCATAAGCCTTGGAAAATACTATTGATGCCTGGTCAAAATTTAGAGTCTCTTTGTGTGTTGTAAATGAGAAATCAAGAGTGTGGATTATGTAAATAAATAGTTAAACATGTATTCGTCTCTGTTTAAGGTAGCGGGACTATTATTTGCATACTTA